GGCCCTTTGCCTAGTTGGCACCTTCGTGGACTCCGCCTTAAACTCCTACTTCCCAAATTTCAAGTTTGAGACCATAATTGCTGAGTTAGATCGGCTGGTTTCAAGGCTGTCTGCGACGTACTTCAATTTGGTGAAAGATAGGTGCGTTTCCATTTTATTTGTCCACATTTTTTATGGCCGCATAGTTATCAGCTTCGTGCTTTTATTCATTGGTGGTATCTTTCGGTTTTTTCAGACAGCTGTCGTCCTTTTTTGCTGTTCAACCGGCCATGGGCTGACCAACAAACGAATGAAGCAGTTGTTTTTACGGGAGGGTAGATGCCTTTCAACACTCCATAATAACTGCCAAATGGGGGCCAAGCGGGACGTAGCCTCGTAGGTCAAGCGGGAAAGCGTTTTGCTGCGATAGAAACCTAGACATTCTGTCCAGGTTTACGGTTTTATTGTCTGGTGGCTGCCACTTAACCTTCTGTTGATACTGTGATGCCTTTCGCCTATTCCGGCAACATACTCATTTTTATATTCCCTTGATCGACTTATTAAAAATCCGTCTTCCTGCGTCAACGCTGTAAGACATGTGCGCGAGTGACCCAAGGGTAGAATGTCTGTTTTGAACAGGCTTTTTGCCTGCTTAGACAACGCTTCTACTAGTATCATTCATTTTTTTGCTTTATAGGCATTTCGTCCGTCTGATGTATGCTTACTTTAAAGTATTAGATCTATATTTATTTGTTTTAATGGCTTGCCTCAGTGTCTGCTTCGGCTTGCTTCAGCGTTTGCTACGGCTTGGTGGAGCGCGTGGTGCCCATCGTCGAAATCTATGGGGGAATTGTCGTGTGATCCGTGGAAGGCGGGGAGGTCATTCTCCTCGTTCTATCTCCCTCTCCGGTTGACCTAATCAACTTCTATCTCTTAGAGAGACAAGAGATAGTCAGACGGAATCTGCGCCACCCGTTGTAGTACATCTGAAGCACTTTCAGTTAACTCAGAGCGCCAAAGGCGTTTATCAGTTTCCCATCTAACGGGATAACTCCGCCTTCATTCGGGCAAATTGTCTGTCTGGAATCGCTGGTTCCTTATTCGGCCTTCGTGGCGAAGCTCGATTGTGTGATTTAAAACAGCTGCGTCTGCGGCACGCGTAGATCAAGGGTGATGCTTGGTCGGTGCCGGTGCGTCCGCACCCATTCCTAGTATTTTTTGCACTCTCCTATGGGAGCGAGTTTTTCTGATGGCTGTGTATGCAGTGCAATTCTGCTATCACTAAAAGCTAGTTCATGTGCGAATCATCGTCTCTGCACCCGCTATGTTTTGGGGCACACGGTGGTCATCATCGTGAGCGATGGTCTAATTGCCAAATGGAGGGCATGAGGTCGACGCCGCACAAATATTTCGTGTTAATCCAAGTCACTCGCAGTCCATTGCCTATCTCCGTATCGTAGTAATTCTTTTCAAGTCTGGCAAACTTGCGGCTTACCCTACGATTGTTTTTTCTCTGAACAGCTTGTACTGCGACCCCGCTAAAAG